TATATAAATAAAGGGACATACACATTTGATGAAAGTATAATGATATTCCTCTGTTATGTTTATTACTTTCAGCCTTAGGGCAGGAAGTGGGTTTCTGTAGCAACCCTAAGCCAGGACATTATATTTAGTCAAGATGCAGACGACAGTAACATGAAAACAGAGTGAAGGAAAAGGAAGCAAGGAAAGTGTTAGAATGACAAAAAGTTATGAGCATAGAACAGTTTGTACTAACAATGGGGGGAAAAATAGAAAGATGCTGGAAGAAAACAATGACATCCAGAAGGATCGGGGATGTGGTGGAAGGAMGGTAAAGAGGCACTGAGGAAGCCTTTTGTTAAAAGAGTGAAGGATTATTAGCGTCTTGCAAAATTATTTTTCAAAGAAAGTCATATCGTATTTTTTCAAACAAAATAAATGAATACATCTCCAGTGTTAAAAAATACTTTCTCTCCAACTGTGTTTTTGTTCGCTCACTTTCAGAAAGAACCAATGCTGCCACATAACAGTCTCTTTTTAAAATCCTTTAATTTACTATACTTAAAATGCACTAACTAACACCACTCATTGTGCTTCAAAGTCATTGTTCAATTATAATCTGTTCATATACTGAAAATGTCTTGTGCATTCTCATTTCTAACTAAAAACATTGTTTTCTTAGTCTTGGTTAGACAAACTCTTTATGATGTTAATGTACTCTGTAATAGCCTATATTGTATTTTTTAAAGATCATTTTAGAAGAATATGAAGAAGTGGCTAATATTCAGTCAGTGCTCAATGTTCAAAATAGCATGGTAAAGTTTGAAATGCACATTATTGGTGGGTGTCAGAGGGGATCATCCTAAACAGTTATTATTTAAAGTAAAGTTTCTGTGCATAATTTAATACGAGATAGATATGTGAGTAATTACTTTATTTGTATTGTTCTTACATCAATAATTTTGTACGGACATAGATTTATACAAAATACAACATCTTAGTGACAAATCACCATAATTTCAGCATTGGGTTAATTTAAAGCCTTCTGTTGTTCCTGAAATGGTTGGTTAGCTCTGTAAAATATGATGAGCACTTTTAATGTTATAGTATTGAGTTTGAAGCCCACTGTGGTAACATTTTAACATTTTTTTATCATGCCAACCCTGCCTAAAAGCAAAATCTTAGTTACTGTTTGCTTTGTTCATTTGTTTGTTTGATTTGTTTTGTTTTTGGTTTAGTGACTGGGAATGGATAAATAACCCAAATGAGTGGGAGCCTCATAAGTGGGCCCATTGCTCTCCCCAAAAAGACACTGAACTTTGATCAAACCTTCGCGTTCCTCAGAAGAAGGACTCAAGGTTAGAAACAGTGTTTTAAGCTTCTCGGGATCCACAAAGTGGTCCCCAATAATTATTTTTCTTTGACTGCTCAGAGCCAGGCAGTGGCCTAAGTCATGCAAAGAGGTCTCTAGTTCAATGCCAGAGACATCACACAGACCATTGTCAGTGAGTTCCATCACCATTTTGTGGCAGTTGAGCAGGTTGTACCCAGTTAGGACTCCAACCAGTGTACTTCTTGTCAGGGTGATGAAAGTATTCCCAAACTTCAGATTAAGGAAATTTATCAGTTCCTATGCCTGTTTACAGTCTGTCAGTTCCCTCCAGCAGATTGGGTGTTGATGTCTAATTCAGGCCTGTAGGGCAGTCCAACAAGCTGTTGTTGAAATACCTACAACAGGCTCTGGTTTTTGAAGTGGGCCTGACTGCAGCTACTGCAAGCTCTCTCATCCCCATTAATGCCAGGATGTCCAGGTCACCATTTAATAACACTGTGGTCTCTCCCCAGTTAGTTGACTGCTTCAGCACACTCCCAAGCTAGTAATGATATAAGGTGTTGCCCTTGGAGAGCTCTAATAACAGCTTGGTAAGCTGTTAGTATGAATATTTTGGCTACACGGCTGATGAGTGTTGATGGTGCCTGAGTTTTACATCTGAGTTTTCCCTTCTCCTAGGCAGGTTGCCTGTCAAGGTCAAGGCTAAAGCCCCACCTGCCTGGCTGCTTTTGGTTTGTGGCACTCCATTTGCCTTTCAGTTTATTAAAGTGCACACCTACAGTACAGTATATAACTGGAACAGGGATCCCTAATCCACCACATGTGGTATGTGTCTCTATGCAGTGCAGCCTCCACAAGAGGTAGTTACTGTTTACAACTACTGTAGGTGTAAAACATCTTCACCATTTCAGTTTTGCAATAAGTTTAGTTCTATTTGAATCTGACCAGTTTTTGTTGTCATTTAGATATGCTTTCATTCCAAAAATGCTTTTTGGAATTGTGTTACTACAAATGATATGAAAGCATGTTATATATATATATATACACATATTTACACACACACATATATATATATATATGTTATATATATATATATATATATGTATGTATGTATATATAATGAAAATAAAATCCAATAATCAATCTGAAAGTGAAAAATGAAGAAAAAGAAAGAGCAAAAGAAAAGTCTTACCTCTACAAAACGGTGATGGAAAGTCCCACTGTGCACCGCTACCAGGCGATACAATACATGTAAGGATACTGTGTCCTTCCAGCACAAAACCCGACTCACAGCTGTATCGGATTTTGTCCCCTATGTTGTACCGTGAACCATGAATGACTCCATTTGGAATAAGGCCAGGGGTGCCACATGTATGGCTAGGCAAAACTGAAATGCAGAAAACAAGACAATTTGGAAGCGAATATTAGAAACAGAATAACTTGGAAAAAATACTTATACCACAATAAATAAATGGACAAACTTGGATACAGCCAAGTTAAGCAAAACCTAAACAAAGAGCAGAACAACCTAAGCAGGACACTTTGTGCAAATATATTGCAACTTTTTTCTTATGATGCCAAAAAACAAGTTTGTGTCATTTGTGGGAAAGAATTCATTGTGTTCTTGATAAAGATAAATTATATTGAAAGAAAATGCTGCAATGCTGAGGTAAAATGCTGGTTTATTCCATTTAGTCTTCGAACAGTTAAACTATTTGGAACAACTCAGGTTTTTTTTCCCCTTCTAAATAAAAATATAGTCTCCATGTTTCACAGTGACAACAGTTAAAATAGATCCAGAACCAGAAGAAAGTGTCAGTAATACAGAATGCCAAATATATATTTATGTGATTTTCTGGGAACCTAAAAATATTCCACAGTGACAGAGTGGTATTAAGATGTCTGACTGGCATTTTGCCTCCAATGTGCATCTGTTGTTGCCCATTCTTAGATGACATAGCTTTACAGTGGGAGAAGAAGCTACAGGCAGCTCATGGTATAACTAGGCCAAAATCAACTGTGACTGTAGCCAAAAGGCCTGAAATCCACAGAAGGGGCAGCTACACAGTGGCTGTAATACAACCTGGACAAACTCCACCGGCTCTTACCCTGCTGTACACTGTGTGTATTTGTATAACTGGAGCATGTTAACTTGCTGGGTGTGTAATGCATGCATTTAATGGTTTTGATTTTGTGTGTCTATCTATGGGGACGCAGCACAGTGTGTCTACATGTAAGGGGTGCTCAGTGAGTCAATCTGTGTGTTTGCGTATGCTGTTCCAATTAAATGCCGGCATGGTAATTAGACAAAGCTTCATCCCTGAGACCCTGAACTAGGACAGAGAAAAAGAGGAAGCAATGGGGTGAGAGGAAAACATAATGAAGAGAGCAAATAGAGTGGGAAGACAGAATGACAAAGCTAAAGACAAAAGAAGAAGAGAGCAGAAGACTAGAAAGAGGAAGAGGAGGAGAGATAAAACAGAGGAGAGGATGAGAAAGGGGAAAGGAGAGACAGATTCTTGTCAGAGAGGAAAACAGAGGTGAACTAATTGCAATGGACCCTAAACATGTATAATTTACTCTAATGGACTCATTATTTGGCTTGTATGTAGTCATGCATCAGAAGCAAGTTACTTACAGTCAGCTGACCATGCTAACACTGGTGCTAACATGCTGTCTGCTTTCTTTTAATAAGGTGAGGTACACGATTGAGATAAGACTGTGAACTACAGCACTGATTCAAAAATGGGCAGTGGACAGCAAAAAAAAAAAGGTGAAAATTGAAAATAACAAATGGTTGAAGGCACATACCTGGTGGAGAAATGTATTTGTCAAGTTGGCATGTTTTAAAGAAACAAACCTGACTTGTGCAGAAAATATTACCCTTCTTTTGACTATGTCTGAGGAAAATATCTTAAAGCATCAGGAGGGATTTCAGCTGGTAACCAGATCACAAGTACCCARCAAATCTTCTACATAACCAGCAATGCTTTTTTTTACTCAAAGAGAGCAATGTTCTTTCATCTCTAGTGGATAACCTGCACTAATCTGAATCCCAAGGACATGTCAGCTAGAGAGCACTGTGTGGATATCTTAGCATGAGCTAAAAGGCAATTTTGTATTCATAAATACTCTGAAAGGAGATAATTTTCTCAACACACAATGATTAGAAAGGGCCATTACNATATATAACAGAGTCACATTTGGGCAAACCTACATGCCATTGCCTCCAATACCATGTCTATGTGACAGCTGTATAATCCGTACAATCTAAAACTCCTGTTGTTTATAAATTTATAGATATTTTTTGCTTAGCTCCACTCTGTTTCAAATCAAATAAAGTGAATTTTCCTTGGAATGTCTGAGCATACGAGAACTTTGTGAAAAAAATGTGATTCTTGAAAGAAGCTACATTTAAACAAGGTCAGCTCTGCTGCCTGCCTATATATATAGTATTCACATCCTTATATACAAATAATGCTAAATTAAAAGCTGTTAAAAGGAACAACAAAAACAGATCTAGTGACTTGTGGTGAGAATATGGCTTCAAATTTGAGAAAGAATTAATTGGTTGACTGATCAGCTGCTCTGAATTTGAAGTTTTTGAGCAGCAAATATATCAAAGTACAAAATATGAATATGGAAAGTGAAAACTACTTCCCTGACATTAATTGAAGACATGGAATTTACTGTATCTGTGCTGCTGGGATGTAACTTGCCACAAGCCACAGTTGGAACAGATGTAATAAGTGATGTACCTGGCAAAAAGCGCTAATTTCTTATTAACTTTCCAGAGGGTGATAAAGGTAAAATCAAGTGGAACCGAAACAAATGCCAGACAGTTCATGTTTTGCCAAACAGAAATTTAAACAGATGTTAAAATTTAATATTCATTCAGTAAAATAGGGAATAAAAATATGATAGAAATTAAAACTCTGACATGTTGAACATAATTTGTCCTGTAACCATAATGTTCTAAATTGTCACTTTTTTATTTGTGCATCTGAAGGTATGTATAAAAGGTAAATATTTAAAGCAAAGGAAACTGTTGTTTCTTATCATTCATATTTTAGAATTGCTAAATAGTTGCAAACTGACATGTTAGCATTGCTTTTATATTAAAAATATCTAGTAATATACCTAGAAAAAGTGAAGGTAACTTAACCTTAGCCAAGAATAAATGACAACATTTCTCAGTGGGTGCAATCCATAAACCATTAATACCTYGACTTAGATCCCACAGTGCATATATTATTAAATAGAAATCACTACGTTCCTATAATCTCTGATTCTTGAAGCAGAGCTGCTGCTGTTGGAAAGATGTCAATGGCTCTGAGCTAAATGGACTCCCCAACACAGCACGTCTTCCCAAAGTGTAAATGTACTAACAGCAGTGCTGACACATCGTACTTAATAAGTCTAACTAAACAAATTGCACTGGGGCTTGTGGCCAGTCGTGTCTAAAGGCTTTCACTCACTGGAGGCCCCTCACCACCTGCTGAGTACTACTAATGTTGATATGTCAGTGGCTAATGTGAAATTTTAGGCAGCAGAAATGTTAACATGATAATGTTTATTCTCTCTTCTAAAAAAGCTGCATTTTGTATTATTAACTTTAAGTAAACATGACAATACCTTACAGGTTTAGCTCAGTGATAAAATAACTCACACACATGTAAACAAATCACAATCAAAGTCAATTTATTCTCCTTATCTTTTGGTTTAAACTAAAATAATCATAACGACCAAAATGCTACAGATCTTTACTGATCTTTATCTGTTTGCTTGATCAATGACATTGTAAATCTCAGTTGACATGAACACAGTCTCACGCAATTTTCCAGAGATAATAAAACTAAATGAATGTCAATGTTCATCCCGGGTAGTTTGGATACTTTTCAAATTGTATAAAACTACAAAGCAATAGAATCTACCAGGGTCAGAAAAAAAAACTCATTTTATATCCTTCTTTTCAGTCTTACTCCAACACTGTCAGGCAGCCACCACATCCATTACAGCATATGGCCCAACCACAACATTACAACCATTATTCATGATACACATTTCTGTGTTTTCAAATAGTCACCATTACACATCAAACTCATTTCTTTTTATTTACCAGATCCTTTATCAAACATGCAAGATAAGATGTCCAACAATGTCTTAAAAAGTTAAAAATCAATCATTTGCTTCTTTATGGAGCTGTATTTAGCATTAAACTATTTTGTCATGCTCTAATGGCATGTTGATGTACTGCAATGTGAAGTAAAAAATATAATGATATCCATTACTAAAGATATCAGCCTAACATTGGACAGGAAAGTCAGCTAATAATGATCAAAATTGGGACATGCACAACTGCACTTAAAGCCATGGGACTCTTGGTACAATGAAGTGAACACTACATGGTTCTTTGTAATGGGTTCCTATTTAAAGCAACAAAGACTCTACATTCCAATAATAGGAGATCAAATTTTTCATTTCTGTATTTATTGCTTTGGGACAAAGATGGGTTTATTGCATTGCATGAATACTCTCTCCACAGGTAATATGAATAGAATGTTTAATATCTGCTTTTTTTATTTCTGGATATTTCATTTTCGGTTTTTCAGTTTGCCAGCAAGTGATGTTTTCAACATTAATTCCCAAGGATCACTTGTTAACGAGGGCAAATGGAGGACAGGCTTCACTTTATTCTAAAACACAGAACTCAACAAAGAATAAACCTCAGCTTAATGAATCAGTACCAAACCACACTGATTTATTAGCGCTTGGGTGAGTAAGGTTGAAATTAAAAACCACAGCACCAAAACATCTATCTACATGTAGCTTTGCAGTCTCCAGTACTGGGCTGAAACACCAACGCTATTTCATGCAGCCATACTTAAAAAAAAATTAAAAGTAAAAAGTAAAAAAAAAATGTCAAGTTAGAATTCTGCTTCCTCAGAGTAAATGTATTAAAATGTATTAGCACTGCCTTTCCTATGTTCCCTCAGTGAAAAAGTATTAGCAAGGCAAGTGACATTTCCAGCAGTGCTTCTCATCAATCATCTGCTAAACAGAGTAATCACTGTAGCAGCTACACTTTGTTAAACACCAGCTCTYCACAGCCTTTCCAGTTTGACTAGGGAGCTAAGAAATATAGGATGTTAATGTACAATATCCCCATGCTGGGAAGGCCAGTACCATAATAATCAGCAGCCACAAAATCAACAAGCATTTACCAAGAGAAGCAGAAAGGGAACACAGTCCTACTGTGACAGAGCGACCTCTCAAAACTGTTTATATTAAAACTTTTTTGGCCCTGTTAGCGTTGGCTTTTTGTGCGTAAGTGTTTTTTAGTTTATTTTATTTTATTTTTGGAATGTAAATTCATACAGTATAATC